CGCGCATGTGTGTATTCAACTCGTGTGTTTGTTTCTTTAGCTTTTACAGTCTAGTAATTGGATCTTTTGTCCCGAGTTCTGCCTGTTTTTGTGAGCGGAAGAAAAGCAAAGGAAGGGTACAACTCTGAGCCTAGTCATGTCTTTTCAGTTGAGCCCCACTCACCTACAAAATAAAAGACAGGGCCAAGACTTAATAGACCAAAACACACATTCGCAGTTGCACGCGCTCGCACATGCACGCCACATCACATCGTTCCTTTTGTGTCAGTGTTAAGTGTGTGGGATTGAGATGTTTCTGTTGGCTTAAAGAGGAGAATCGGATGCTGTCACAGCACAGATAGACAGCCTCACAAGCCTCAGAAAAGAGAAGAGGCTTTCTGATACACACTCAGACTTTACAGATACACTCAGCCTTGACTATATGAATAGGGGATTTGGAGAATTCAGAGAATGTTAATCATTTGCTCTGTGCATGGAAAAAAAAACACATTGAATGAGCACTATATCTGTATTTTAGTTGTCACCAAAGAAACCTCAGGGAGGGTTTTGGTTAGCCAAACCCTATTTTCTATTCCCTACACAATAGGGGTTGGGGAAATGGGCCTGTCGAGATGGCCAACATCCTCCCCTCCCTCCCCAGGTCTGTCCCTGTGTCTAAATGAGGACAGAAAATAAACAAACACTGTACCTCAGATTACTGGGCGGAGGATAAGTCTGCCTGGTTTGACAGATCACTGCTCCCTGCCTCCCTCCTTCCATTCAGCCCTTTCCCCTCCCCTCCTCTTGTTCTCCTCCCGCTTCTCCTTCAACCCATCTTAACATCCTTCCTGTCCTTTTTCCCTCCTGTACTCCCCCTCACGCTATCCGTCCCTCCTTTCCTCCATCTATTTCTCCTTCACCCCTCCTTAACACTCATCCCTCACACTCTCCCTCACTCCCTCCCCTTTTGGCCAGCTCTTGCAGTTCCTCCATATTTGTCTCACTCTTGTCTCTTCCCCCCCTCTTTTACTTCAGCTGTGGAGCATCAAAGCATGTTGGTCTAAAATAGTGGGAAAGTATTGATCTAGGCGCGGAGGAGGCAGAGCAAGGTCACCTGTCCCAATTCCAGAGAGGCTTGAATATAAGCAAAAGGCCTTGACATAGAGCTACCACCTCCCACACCCTTTCATCTTGTTCCTCTTTCTCTCATTCTTTTTTTTCCCCCGACATAACTGACGATTTAATAAACCGGGTTTCTGCTAAACATCCACGCATCCAAAAATAAGATCATACTGGAAATATCTCTCTCTGTATGTAGCAAGTCAAACTGATTCGACCCCCATCTTGTTGACAGGACATGGAATTAAAATGCACAGCTTCTCTTTTTGCTATCCTTTGCATGGGTCACGGACCACATGCCAAAATACAGTGGAATCAGTGTGTATGTCAATCAACCTCCAAAATCCAATTAAGATCAATGGGATTTGGCCCCACTACCCCTCTGTGCGTCAGAGAGTCAATTCCAGACAATGGATTTTGCAAAACCATCCCTGCACACCTGCCCACACTGCCACCATGTACAGGATGTTAGGAACATCCAATTAACTATAGAGATTATACTGACATTATTGAACTTTTCCCTCCATTGCCAGCTCTCATCAATTCACATCTACTTTTAAAAATTGACTCACCTCTGTGCACTAGCTACCATTCATTCCACAGCTACTGCCAAGAGATTTTCAAAATGTATTTATGATTGTGACACAAATTTTGTTCCAAATTTAACAAATTGATCCTATATAGCTTGTCTTCTGGCTCTCTCTCTCTTTTTTTTGGTACTGCAACTGTAAAGGAAGAACAATGAGGGTTAATTCAAAAAGCAGATGGAAATGAATCTAATCCAGACTTGGATTTTCAAATTGAGTCTACTTTATATATCAACTTTTTTGGATTCAACAGGACTTACCTGCAAGTGGAGGAATCTAATACGCGGATGTGCACAAAGCTGCCATGAACCCGAACCTGCACGGTCTTTTGTTCATATATTTTTTCAAATAATAAAAAGTAAACAACACTGTCCAAAGGTTATGACTAGCCATGTGTCATTAAGCATTTTTCCGTGAGGTTACAGAGAGGTAAAATCCAATCCAATCTTGCTATTTTCGCCTAACAAATTTACAGAGCTTTTTAGTTAATTAGTAACCTTGGTCAGTCACCTTCCAGTAATTGCTTCCCTAAAGCCTAAACAGATGTAATAAGTACAGACTCCATTGGGATGGCAGGTGAAAGAAAGGGATGACGATTGTATGTTAGTTCCTATTCAGCCATGTTTAAGTAATGCAATTATTTTACTTTTTTCTTGTCTTTCTTTTTTCTTGCCGCTGTGCAGGCAGTCAGCTGACTGCTATTTGCATACTTTAAAGCTTGCCAGACACAACTGAAATATTAAACTCAGTGATACGACACTGTAATATATTCAGTTACATGTTGCATTTCTGCAAGAGGCTTGAACCAAAACTGATTAACTATTCCGTGAAAGCCCTTTCCTGAGAACCGTCTACTGCCAGAACACCATTTGTTAATGAGCTACTCCCTTTCACCTGTATCTCATCCGTTTACTCTCGGTCTCTACTTCCTCTTCGCTGTTAATGCTGTTTCCCCTGTCACTGATGGGGTGGGGAAGAAGAGATGGGGAGTTAAGCATTTGTGTGTGTTCTCAGTGAGTGGGAGTGGGGAGTGTCGGGTGCGGTAGTTTAACATTCCAGGAATCCATCCACGGCCGAGCCTCATGGTTGTGTGATTCTGTCCGTTGTGCAGAGGAGGGCAATGAATGGCTAACCCACTGCATAACTCTGGAGACATTCCCCAAAATGCTGCCCACATTTGCACACGCTTGCATGCGTACACGCACTGTCTAGAGAATCTTGCGATACATTATGCTTTGATTAATACACACTATTAATCAAAGCGAAGAAAGAGAGAAAAAAAGAAATGCGCTCTCAGTACCAGCTAATGGTGATATTAATGTAGCAGAAAAAAGGCTCTGTGTGAATAGTTGTGGAAAGCTAAAGGTTCTGTGAAAAAAATTGAAATTTTATCCAGCGTGTCTTAACTTGTTGCTGGTAAACATCTTACATGGTCGATGTAGTCGTCCTTTACCCTGCGTGCACACAAAAAAAAATCTTCACTTGAGCTGCAAGATGGCTCCTCTCCAAAACAATCTCCTTCCACGCTACAGAGGATCCTCAAGCCCTCTCCTTATATGCATTTTACTCACACAACATGGCACATACACACTCACAAAACACACACCCGCTGCCATCCTCTGCGCACGCATGTGGGTGGAAGGAGAAGGAGAGCAGAGGAGCGAAAGAAAAAAAAGAGAGAGAAAGAGAGAAGAGAAGCCCTAACCCTTTCCCCTTGGCTGGTGGAAAGTGAAACTTCAGAGTTTTTCTTCCTCCCCCTCTCCATAGTGTTTGATAGTGTAGCACTGGCAGCCTCTGTGTGCCCCCCTGCCCACTCTCTCCCGTTGTGTTCTGGTGGCCAGCTGCTAGCAGAGTTGCAGTTGTACGTGAGTGGGTGGGTGAGACTCGTTTCCTGTGCTCCTCAGGGCTCTACTTCAACAACTACTGCAGCACACTTCGGCCAGGGGCCACGGGGGCCACTATTCATAACAAACAGGGGGCTGGCTCCTCTCCTCCTCCTCTTCCTCTTCTTCCTCCTCATCTTCCACCATCATCATCACCACTACCGCCATCATCATCATCATCAACAACATCAACATCAGCATACTGCCCACCCACTCCACCCACACCACTGCACCCCTCTGAGCTTCGGCCCCTGGAGGCCCCCGGTCTGAGGGCTGGGGCACCCCTGCTGCACTCAGAGAGATTGGACATGGAAGTTGAAGAGGCCCCTGAGGGCCCAGAGCCCTCCACCTTGCCTGAGGTAAGTGTACCAGAGCCTGGCTCAGCTCCAGGGCACAGGCTGC